ATTGTTATCTTGCCAAATCTATCCCATATTTTTATTCTCTTTTCTATCTTATCATACTTACAAATTCCATTCCTACCCCATTATTATTATTATACAACTTTTCTGTATCTTCTCCTAGAACTTTTATGAGTGTTTTTTTAAATCTGTAAGTTTGTTAATACACTTGGGCTTTATTTTTACATAAGGTACATGATTCCCAAATTTTTAACTAGCTGTTCCAGCACAATTTCTTGAATTTTTTTCTTTCTCTACTAATTTGAAATGCCACATTTATAATATGTTCTTAGAATGTATGACCCTAAATTATAAGATATTTACTACTAGAATTCTAACTTTTCTTGGCTGTCCTAAGTGTGATGATGTTTAGTTGATAATGTTTGTTTTTAGAGTACAATAAAATGATTTTTTTCCTTGACTAGAATATGCTACTCCACTCTGTTCTTTCAAGGCTCCCCCTCTTGATTAAAATGTTTCTTTAACTTCCCATTACGGCTGGAGTCCAGGCTCACTGGGCACCAGGGTCGCTCTCACTGTTTCAGTGACAGGGCCCTTCCTGGGCATGTCCTATAGCCTGTCTTCAGGGCTCCACACGTGCTTCTCCCTCTTTTCCCAGCAGATAACACCCTGACAACCTCTCCACACTTGGGTACATACATACCAAAGCTAAATTTCATATTTTCCATTAAAACTGTGAATCACAGGTGGCACCTGGGTGGCTCAGTCAGTTAAGCATCTGACTCTTGATTTCAGCTCAGGTCATGATCCCAGGGTTGAGATCAAACCCCGCATCAGGCTCCACACTGAACGTGGAACCTGCTGAAGATTCTCTCTCTCTCTCCCCTTCTGCTCCCCCCACCCCATTCTCACTCTCTCTCTCTCTCAAAACCAAAAAGAACCTGTGAATCATGGAATTTAATTCTGTGGATATTGGTAAGAGGTTTGAAAAACGGTAGGTCAAGTAGGTTCTGGTGTCAGCTGACTTATTGAAAGGTTTGCCAGAAATCATGGGATATGAACTAAAAGGGAAGGACAAGGTTTGGTTACACTGAGAGAGATTATGTTTTGCACACTGGCTAGTTGGGTATTTCATACTTCTGTATCCTTGATACCAGGCATAGAAAGATGAATAATTCTTGGTCTCTGTCCATAAGTTTCTCCTAGTCTGGTTAAAAATGGTAACATACCTAGTTAAAGGTGAAAGTTTCCCTGCTAGGGGTACATTCTCTCTCTTGAAAGTCCTGCAACAGCTTCAGAGAGGGTGAAACTTGAGCCTGACTTTGCATGATAAGTAGAACTTCAGAGACATGGAAGGAAACTAATTCCAGGCAAAGAAAATGGAATGAATGAAGCACTGAATCTCAGAATAATTGGCATATTGGAGAATGTTCTGTACAGAGATGATGGTTGATGATGCTGGAAAAGCTCTTCGAGACAAGGCTGTGAAGAGACGTGGATTCCATGCCAAGAAGTCTTTAAGTCATGCTGTAGAAAATGGGGAGTCCTTGGAGGCTTTCAATCATTACAATAACAACATCTTTTCTAAGTTTTTGGAAACTAATACCAGAAGCATCAAGGAGGAAGAATTCATAGGAGTGGATGGATTCACAGGAGTATTAGCCAGCCAAATATTGATCTCCCAATTCTTCACCACCTGCTTCTTGTAATTCTCGAGGAATAGTCTTTAGCTGCCAAATTAACCTATAAAAAACAGATGAAAAATTCAGGGTTCTTCACTTTAATTAAATGGATAATTAGACTTATTTTTCTGTTTTCTCAAAAATAATATGAGTCTCTTTGGAAATAGGGGCGTAAGTAAGATGATACCTATTGAATTCAGCAAATACTGAGACCAACTATGTAGAACTTCTGTGCCAGAAACTGTGTGGGGTATACTCTGACTTACTTTATTCAACTAATGCTTATTGAGAACCTACTATGTTTTAAAATAATCTGCTTGTTCCCCAGATACAGTTGGTGGGGGGGGAACCAAAGACACATAATAGTCTCATGTATCTTGGAATTTACAGTGTAGTAAGGTATTCAAATAGTAACTAAATTATCCATACCAATAAGGGCATATCTGTGAATGTTTATAAATGCCATAAAGATGGAAGAACCCAAGAATTGAAAATAAGAGTACAACTATCCTTATTAGATACAAGTCCTTTATTGGATATGTGATTTGCTAATATTTTCTCCAAGTCTGTGGCTTTCCTTTTGTTCTCTTAACAGTATGTTTTGTAGAGCAGAAGTTTTTAATTTTAATGAAGTCCAACTTATTGATTTTTTCTTTTATGGATGGTGGTTTTCGTGCTGTATCTAAAAATTCATTCCAAACCCAAGGTTATCAAGGTATTCTCCTATGTTTTCTTCTAGGAGTTTTATAATTTAGCATTTTACATTTAGGTCTGTGATCCATTTGGGTTAATTTTTGTTAAAGGGGCCTGGTTAGTGTCTAGATTTTTAAATTTTTGCATATGGATGTCCAGCTTTTCCAGCTCCATAGGTTGAAGAGATTTCCTCATCCCGGGGAACTTCTCAGTCTAGTAAAGGGAGTAAGACCCATATACAAATGATTGGTTGAAGTGATCGAACTAAAATATTTGTTCTGAAGGTTGTATAGAATTATGCTGAGAAGCTTTAAAGAGGTGGCATTTGAGGTGAGCTGTGAAAAATGAATAAAGTTTCATCACACAGGTGGAGCTGAGGAGGAACTAATATAAATGAAGGACGAATCTTACTGACTGTAATGTTGAGAAGAGTGTGGAAGGCAAAGGTGGCAGTGGGGTGGGAGGCCATAGTGGTAGTGGGATGCAATATGGTGGAGGTGATGGCGGTGAGAAATGGTTTATTCTAGATAGAGTTTGTCAGTAGAGCTGATAAAATTTGTATATGGATTGCATGAAGGATATGAGAAAAAAGAAGATCCAAGGACCACTTGAACAATCAGAAGAGGGGAGTCACCGCCTCCTGGGATGAGAATCATGGGGCAGCAGCAGGTTTGGGGCTGCGTATTCAGGAGCATGGTTTGGGATGTCTTAAGCCTGCCAATTAGACTTCCAGCTGAAGTGTCGAGTAAGCATTTGGATGCTTAAGCCTGAAGATCAGCAGAGTTGTCAGTGTGTGGGTGGTAGTTAAAGCAGGAAGTGAATGTAGATAGAGAAGAAAAAAACTGCAAGGATTGAAGCTCCGGAGATCCCAAATGTAATTGAAAGATGAGGAGGAACCAGAAAATGATTCTCAGATGGAGATGCCAGTGAGGCAAGGAAAAGAATTAAGAGAGGTGTACAAGACACCAAAACAAGTGTATTTAAGAAGTTGGTCAGTGCTGCCAGTCTGTTAAATAAAATGAGGTCTTAGACTTACCCATTGGACTTAGCAGTGTGAGGCCATTAATGTTCCTAACAGAAGCTGTTTCCATGGGGTGAGAGATGGCAGCCTGACTGAAACAAGTTTTCCTACTGGATGGAAAGAAATTAAGTATAGATAATTCTTAGGAGGACTTTTGTTATAAAGCAAGGAAATAGAATAGTAGATGGGGGAAAAATGGAAGTCAAGGAAAGGTGTTGTGCTTGTTTCTTTTGAGACTTTTGAGACAAGTACTATGATAGCTGAGAGGAAAAATTGAGGGACGTTAGGATGAGAGAGGAATCAGTGGTGTCCTTGAGTAAGTGAAAGAAGGTAGATCCAGTGAACCAGAGGAAGGGCTGGCCGAGGGTAGAGGGGGGACAGTTTATCAATAGTGACTTAATTCTTTTTCTTTTTTTTTTAAGAGGGAGAAAGAGCATAAGCAGGGGAGAGGGGTATAGAGAGAGGGAGAAGCAGACTCCCCACTGAGCAGGGAGCCTCATGAAGGCCTCTATCCCCGACACTGGGATCATGACCTGAGCCAAAGGCAAACATTTAACTAACTGAGCCATCCAGGCATCCCAATAGTGACTTAATTTTAAAACAACCAGTGTTGACAGGAATGTGGAGAAAAAGGACACCTCGTGCACTGGCGGTGGGAACGCAAACTGGTGCAATCACTGTGGAAGACAGTACGGAAGTTCCCCCCAAAACTAAAAATAGACCTACCATATAATCCAGTAATCACACTACTGGGTATTTACCCAAAGAATACAAAAATACTAATTCAAAGGGATACATGCACCCCCGTGTTTGCTGTAGCATTATTTACAATAGCCAAAGTCTGGAAGCAGCCCAAGTGTCCATCAGTAGATGAGTGGAAAAAGAAGATCTGGTATTATCCAGCCATTAAAAAGAATGAAGTCTTGCCATTGAGGACAACATGGATGGAGCTAGAGAGTTTATATAATACTAAGTGAAGTAAGCCAGTCAGAGAAAGACAAATAACACATGATTTCACTCATACATGGAACTTAAGAAACAAGACGAACAAAGGGAAAAAAGGGACAAACCAAAAACAGACTCTTAACTATAGACAACAAACTGGTGGTGGTAGCCAGAGGCAGGTGAGTGGGGTGTGGCTGAATTAGGTGAAGGGGATTAAGAGCACTTTTATGGTGATGAACACTGAGTCATATATGGAATTATTGAATCACTATATTGTACGTCTGAAATGAATGCAACACCATATGTTAACTACACTGGAATTAAAGTTTAAAAAAAATAGTGACTTAATTCACCATTGGGAATCTTATGAATTCACATCTCTCTGACTCACCACTTTGTAACAGATTAAATCACAATGTGGAGGAAGCTTTAAAGCAAATTTTATATGGGAGAGTTCTTGATAGAAATAATGAACTCTTTTCATCATCGGTGAAGGAAGTTTGACATGTTGTAATTTTCCTATAGAGAGGAGAAAACAGACCAAATATATTAGGCTATTTTCTGGGAAATGGTTAGCGTTGAATTTAGGAAAATCAGCTTTATAGAAGTTTTGTAGTCTCATATGTATCTAAAACTTACCTCCACTGTGATCAGTAATAAGTTCTCAAGTCCGAAGGGGTTTCTCTCTTTATACTGCTCTACAGACATGAACGCATTCACACCAAGAAAAGTAACTTCAATAGATCACTAATGTCCAGTCTGAAGGATGTAGACGATTTGGCAACCCTAGAAGTTTTGGATGAGGTAAGAGACTCAGTTTAATTAAACCTAAACATTCTAGATTTTGTTTAATTTATAGAAGTGATATGCTCAGGAGGCTGTTGGAATATCTATAAGCTTTGCTTGTCTCTTGGCTTCCTGATTATCTCTCCTATCTTCACTTTGAATATGTATAACTCAGATTTCCAGATCTCTTCAGCCTGATGTCCATCTTCCTTTCTTTCGTTCCCTTTCTTTCTTTCTTTCTTTCTCTTATATTGTCAAATTACAAAGGTTTGGATTCCCACTAGCGTGAGTTGCTTATAAGTTATAGACCCTTCCTCCCCTGAATTCATTCTGGGAGTCTCAGAGGGATGATATACTGAGGTCAGAAAATGGTCTGCCTCCTACAATCTCCACAGAGCATTTTTTCTATTTTCTCTTCTGCTCTATTTTCTCTTCTGCTATTTTCCCTGTATTTTCTCTTCTGCTACACTCTCAGTGGCTGTACCCAGAGGCCTCTAGGAAACCCTGAGAGCCTGTCTCTCTTACGATGGCCATTGTCCCCCTCATGGGATCCCAAAGTCCCTACTCAGAATTCTGCTTGAAACTCCTCTTATCCCAGTGACCTCAGAACTATTTCAAGCATCTCTTGTGAAGGTACAAATACAAGCCAGTAAATTACAGTTTCAGTCTCCCTTCCCCTCATCTCCCTTTATTCTGGATAATCAGATCATTAGAGAAATAAATAGCTCCTTTTCAGTAAAAGGTTAGGATCTCTATCCTGCCTGATCAACAGTGTTCTTTAAATACATCTAATAAATGCCTGAGATTTGCTTAGAAATTCAACAAATCAGGAGACATTTTCTGAACAGAGGTAGTCATTTGGTAAATTTAGGGTTGCTTAAACAACTCGAGTACTTCCTCAAAATAATCTTTCTTGAGAACATCAGACATCTTGTAATCAAGTAGTGTTTGCAAGTCAAAGATTGCCAGCACCTTTATAAATCTTTTCATACCAATTTCTCTAATGATAGGAGTTTCTAGGCTTATGGATTATAAAGAAGACTTTGCTCGTCATACTGATGACCTATATGTTAGACACGGGGCTTGTTTGTTTCTGTTGTCTGTGCTTTTGTTTTCTTCTCATTTTTGGGCTATGATCTGCTCTCCTCTTCTGTCACACTGTAAATGATGATTTCTGACACTATTAGAATTGATTTCATGTACTCACAATTTATCAACTATGAAAGTTACTTTTCGGAACTTTTTGCTGTGTCTCATAAAGCCAAATGTCTCAGCAAAGGGCTAGGATGTTCTACAGAACCACTAAATAACCTTGATTTTCAATAAAGTCATGTTCTCTGTATCCTCCCCTTCCTTTTCTATTGGTCTTTCTCTTTATGTCGTCTTCTGCATTTACTTATTTTCTGGAAGGTTCTCTATACATAATACCCATGTAATATCTCACATGACCTTTGGAAAACATGGAGAACAGTGCCGTCCCTCTATGGCCCTCAAAACAGAAAATGTCTGTCAGGTGGAAAGATACTTGCTGACCCAGTGTTGGACTCCGTGTGTCTATTCCTTTCTGATCCTCAGTCCAAATTCCAGATGTTTAATTTATTACTGTCTATATTTTAAGTTGTAAGTGACCTTAAATGATTTTTAAGAAAAAAGTTCTTTTTGTTTTATTTTAGAATACAGTCTCAGAACAACTTGAGAAGTGTTATTGCAGAGATCAGATTTATATGTATGTGGGAGATATACTCATTGCTCTGAACCCTTTTCAGAGTCTGGGTCTTTATTCCACACAGGTATGTGGCCTGGTTTGCATTCTTCTACTTTGTACTAATAATTATATTATTCAGATTTTAAATTAATTTAGATGAGGCCGAAGATAATTTCATTCAGTGCCTTGAAAACACAAGTACTTACTGCTAAAACAGAGAGATGGAAAAAATAGGAGGTGAATCAATCTGGATGTGGTTCCTGGTCTTCCTTCCTCCAAAACTCTATGGCAGAAGGGTGACTACTTCCAGTCACTGGTAACTGGTCTATATGATGCATCATAATGATAAACAGATACCTGCGAAAGTGCAGGGTATTGTCTCCCCCTGAACCAAGTATGGGAGAGTCAAGAGTATAATTACATTGTCTCACAGGTAATATATACTTAGTGGCTATGAAACTTGTCATTATGAATTTAAAAATTCCTTTTGACATATTGGTTTTTAGTATCAGGTAGAGTGTGTTTTATGAATGTGAGTATATAATTATCCATTATTCAAGCCCTAATGGTTTAAATATAGAACAGGTTTCTGGAATTGAGTTAAGCTGTCTTTCATTTTTAATTGGACCTATTCTCTTTTAGCAATTTGTGTATTCTAGAAAATCAGTTAATATTATGATTAATAGCTTTTTTATATGTGAGAAGTAAATAATTCTCTCATTCTCTACCACCTTAAAATTTATAAGAATAATGGTAAATTAATGAGCCTTGAACTTAAGTTCCAGAAATCTGGGCTTTCATTAAATTCTGTTATCAGTTAACTTGGTGATTTGGACAAGTCAAATGACAGACTATATGTCAAGTGATGTGAAAAGAAAAAAGTGGTGATCGTATGTCAGATAGGATTATATCCAGGGAATAGTCAACAAAATGATACCTGGTGTTCTTATTTATAGTATCTTTTTATTTAAAGAGATAATAGTATTTTGAAACATTAAGTTCTGCTTTGGAAGTGGTTATGCACTTTCAGGAGTCTCCTTTTAAATACTGCTACCAGAGTGATATATGCTATTATGTTACATCACATATATGGGCTCTTTTATGTCAAGCTTTTATTTTATATAGTTGTGCATATATGTGTGTATAGTACGTGTGTGGAGTGTGTGTCATGTTTTGGTGAAAATGTATTTTGACTTGTGTTTTGCTTTAAAAAATTGGCAGTTCTGCCTGTAAATAATCTAGGACTTAAACAAAAACAAAAAGAAAAGCCCCACAAAATGTGTTCTTTTTAACCTTTAGCATTCCAAACTATATATTGGAGCAAAGAGAACTGCCAATCCTCCTCACATTTTTGCAGTGGCTGACTTAGGATACCAGTCAATGGTAACAAACAATTCAGATCAGGTAAGGAGAGTCTCACATCTTAGAAATTCCCCTCTTAGCTTCTCGTGTGTGAGCCACATCTTGTGAGGATAAAGTCTTCTCATGGTTTCCTTTTCTTATTGTGCAGTGCATTGTTATTTCTGGAGAAAGTGGTGCTGGAAAGACAGAAAGTGCTCATCTTTTGGTTCAACAGCTGACGGTTCTTGGAAAGGTACAATGTTTTCTCTATCCTAACAGAAATATTTGTTATATTTCAAAGCCTAATATAGCTGATTAGATTAATGTTCACTGATTCCCACATTAAATAAGGTACAGAAATTATAAAACACGTTTGCTGTCTTCTGTGAGTTTAAAATATAACAAACAGTAGAAAAAATGTATGCTCCGTTCTGAGGGTATTCTAACTTTTGTCACTCTTAGTAGGGAAGGCTTTATAAATGTGATTTTCTCCCTTTTTAGCCCAAGTAAATTTACTGAATACTCTCTTTACTTTTTTCCTTTTGTTGCTTGCAGGTTCATATACAAAAATCAATTGTATTTATATATGTTATATACATTATAAACGTATATATAATACAAAAGTTAATTTGCAAAATAGATATATATATCTCAGCAATAATCAACTCATTGAAAACTGAAATTTAGAAGTCTCATTTACAATAGCACCAAAAAGTTAACTATTTCAATCGAAGTCTTGTAAAACATATATGGAATTTGTATGCTGAAAAGTAGAAAAAACTGATAAAAGAAATCATAGGATACCCCAATAAATGGAGAGATATACCATGTTTATGGATTAAAACACCCATATTATTACGCCACATCATCACAAATTAATCTGTAGATTCAGTGCTGTTACAATAAAAATCCCAGCAGGATTTTTTTTTTTTAAATTGTCAAGCCGAGTTAAAAAATTATATGGAAAGGCAAAGGAGCTATAATAATCAATTTTGAAAAAGAACAAGGTTGGAGGACTAATACTATCTGATTTTCAGACTTACTGTAAAGCTACAATAGTTATATTCAACATTAAAAGCATAATCCTCAAAGGAAAAAATTAGATTTCACCAAAATTAAGAACTTCTTCTACTCTCTGAATGACATTTATAAGCAGATGAAACCACAAGGTACATCCTCAAAGAAACTATTTGCAAGTCACATATCTGATAAAATACTTGCATCCTTAAAGCATATATTGTAAAAAAAAAAAAATCTTAAAAACTCAATAATAAGAGATCAAATAACAAAAAAAATGAACAAAAGAGCATATCAACTATTCTTAAATAACAAAATATATTAAAAAATAAACAGAGGATTTGATTATTACGTCACCAAAGACAATATGTAGATGGCAAATAAACAAATGAGATGTTCTTGGGGCTCCTGGGTGGCTCAGTGGGTTAAGCCTCTGCCTTTGGCTCAGCTCCTGATCCCAGGGTCCTGGGATGGAGCCTGCTTCCCCCCGCCCCCGCCTGCCTCTGCCTACTTGTGATCTCTCTCTCTCTGTCAAATGAATAAATAAAATCTTTAAAAAATAAAAAGAAAACATGTTCAACATCAGTTGTCATTAGGGAAATGCAGATTAAAACACAGTGGGACATCACTATCCACCTATTAAAATGGTTACATTTTTTGTTAAGTCTAACAGTACCAACAGCCAAGAAGGACGTGGAGTAGCTAGAACTGTTGTATGTGCTGGTGAAATGCAAAATAGTGCAGTCACTTTGGAAAACAGCTTGGAAGTTTTTTAAAAAATTAAACCACACTTACTGTACAGCCCAGCAATCCTACGTATTTATCCACACAAAATGAAAACTCATGTTTACACAAAAACCACAAACAAGTATCTATAGTGGCTTTATTTGTAATCTCCAGGAGTGGGTAAACAAACCGGTACATGTGTACAGTGTAATATTGCCCAGTAACAAAAAGGAGCAAAGAATGATACATGGAGTGAATCTCATTAGATGAGACTTGGATGAAGTTCAGACGCATTGTGCTTAGTCAAAGAAGTCAGATCCAGATTACAGACTATATGATTCACTTTATATGTCATTCCTGAAAAGTGAAAATTGTAGAGACAGAAAACAGATCAGTCATTTTCAGAGGCTGGGGAGGAAGGGAGGTGTTGGCTACAGAGGGTAATGATACAGTTTTGGGGAGTGATGGAACTGTCCAATGTGTGGACTGTAGTAAGGATTATATAGTTCTATATGTTTATAAAAACTCTTAGGGAACACCTGGGTGGCTCAGTTGGTTAAGCATCTGTCTTTGGCTCAGGTCATGATCTCAGGGTCCTGAAATCGACCCCCGCGTTGGACTCCCTGCTCAGTGGGGAGTCCGATTATCCCTCTCCCTCTCCCTGTGCTCTTTCTTGCTCTCTCTGTCTCTCAAATAAATAAAACCTTAAAAAATTATCTATTAAAAACATTTAGAACAGTCCTCTATAAAGGATGAAACTTATTGTATATAAAATATACCTTAATTTTTGAAAAAAGGAAGTTGATGATAGAGATTTGGCTTGATTTTCCAGATAGGGTCCTTGAAATAAGTCAAGAATTATATGTTCTTATTAGGATGACTAAAAAAACCCCAAACAAAAGAGCCCCTCAAAACCCATTGTATACAACTTATCCCTGTGAATATTTTTATTATGATCTACATAGTTATATAGCATTATGTTAAAAATTTTGCCATCACTGTGATTATAGGAATCTTATGTTACAAAGTACTGTGTGTGCTAGGACAGAACCAATCTCTCTATTAAAGGGTGAAGCCTTTTCATCTTACCAGAACTAGTGCTTAATGGAGTATAATTCATTTTCAGAATGAGTTGAAAGATTTCTGTGTTTTTATTAAAAGTCAATTAACTAATTTTAGTATTTTCAATCTCGTGTGTGGATATGGAATAGAAAAATACCTTGGTCACTGGGTTAATTTGCCCTCCACTAACCAGACCTGTGACCCCCTCACGACTGGAAGAGCCAGTAGAGACCAGGAAGCTAGTGCCCAGGACTGTCATCTCCATCCCTTTCCCATCTCACTGCCCATCCACTTTCCCCCTCCTTAATACTAGAATAAACATCACAGTGAAAAAGAGATGTAATTTTGAGGGAGGCACAGCATATAGAAGAGTTGAACCCCTGAATTAATTTACTCAAGGGCCATCCATGAGGGCCTTTGTTATTCCTTCTTGGTTTGTGGCTTGATAGAGGGTCTCGTCAAAGATGGATTAATTTGTATGTGAATTTTGTTTGTAGGGTCAGCAGACTTATTTAATCACTTTCTCTTTTCCTAGATCTAAAAATGTGACTTAATATTAATTGGGAATATATATGTATATTTTATCTCCATTCCCCAGAATCCTCCCCTTATTAGATCTTACTATATTTTTTTACTTTTCTCCTCAATAAAGATTTGCCAGATACAAAAATGGGATGTTTGGTGGAGTAAATTTACATTTGTAATATGCAGGCCTCAAAATCTTAGGAGGGCACTGCTCTTTAATACAGGCAGACAAAGATGCTTTCTCACCTTTCTCATGAGTGCAAGACCATCCCCAAACATTTTAGAAGAGCCAAGTTTGTCCCAGTGCTCATTACTGTCTTCTCACAATGTTTACTGCCTCTTTTAGAAGATACTAAAAGGCTTTATATGCCTTCAGACCCTCACTGTGAATGCCCCCTCTAGCCCATCTATGTACAGATGTGGCCTATGTTCCAGAAATACCAACTGCTCCTCTCCCTTCCTTATATAATTTGCATACCTTCAACATAGCTGATCTCAACAAGGTATTACCCTAAACATAATCTACTCGATCTAATTTCTACCAAGATGTGAATGACTGATACCTCCTTAACTGTCTTAGAGTGGAAAATGCATTCTAAAAGAGATTGATTTTTTTTAATAATTTCTTAAAAGATTTTATTCATTTATTTGACAGAGACACAGAGAGAGAGGAAACACAAGCAGGGGGAGTGGGAGAGGGAGAAGCAGGCTTTCCGTCCAATAGGGATCCCGATATGATGTGGGGCTCGACCCCAGGACCCTGGGATCATGACCTGAGCCAAGGCAGATGCTTAACAACTAAGCCACCCAGGCACTCCTAGAGGTTGATTTTTAACCAAATAAATTTCTACTTGATGGAACTCCCAGTAAAGTGGTATATAAGGAAATAATAATAATCATAACAAGCTTATTTAAGGGAAGGAATATATGAGACAGTGTAGAAGAAAATAGAAGGACAGCCAAACAGACCCGCTTCCATCCATACTTTTGAGCTCTTCTGAGTTTTCACAATAATTCCATTTCCCCTGCTTCTGAATTCAAAATAATCTTTACTCCCTGGTTTTCAGCTATAGGAGCTTCTGTGGAAGCAACAGAAGTGGTTCTGACTTTGGGGAATATTTGAATGGGCCCCAGAGAGGTAGAGGAGGAATAACAAAATGAGAGGTGTACCCCACCGTGCATAGACTGCTTACAAATTGTCTCTGTAAATCGGGCACTGAACAGAACTGTATTCAGTTGAAAAAGTATAAAACATCTCTTTGCCCCTTGAAGAAAGCAAGTGGGAACTCACCTAGAGGAAGGGAAAAGTGGGCCAGATATTGTAACATCTGGCATTATGCCAAGAATGTGCTCTCAAGACCTTTATGTCTACATGTAGTGCTTATCAATGAAGAGACATTTTATTATATACAGAATTAATTTTTTACATTAAAAATATATCTTGACATTTTCTCTAGGCTAATAACAGAACCCTGCAAGAGAAGATTTTACAAGTGAACAATTTGGTGGAAGCCTTTGGCAATGCCTCTACTATCATAAATGACAATTCCAGCCGATTTGGGAAATACTTAGAAATGAAATTTTCCTCTTCCGGAGCTGTCGTGGGAGCACAGATTTCTGAATACCTTCTGGAGAAATCGCGAGTTATCCGTCAAGCTCTGTAAGTTGGTGTCAAATATTTTTTTTTCCTGGGGAACAAGCAAAGAATGCTTTTGTTTTACTAGCAGAATGTCTTACTTATTCAAAAAACTCAGCAAAATGTTATGGATTATCCTCTATGTGAAAGGCACTTATTGTTAGAATCAAAGAGATCCCTCGGCACTGTCTTATTCTCACATATTGCGTCTAGTAGAAGAGGTAATAAATCACCTGAATTTATGATACCAGATATAAAATCTATAAACATCATAGATGCTAATAGGATAAATTGTAGAGATTTCTGAAGTAGAAGAGAATATATTTCTTTACATAAAACTAATGTGAAATTTGATTAGAAATAAGAGTCTTTTTTCTTTTTAGTGCTAGAATATATAGATAGATCTTTGTATTAATTCTATCCCTCCCATGGTTATATATAAGAGACGAAATAAAAGTCTCAGGTATGGGCTTAATTGTACTGTCCTGTTAATTTCCAGCCGATTTCAGCCACCAATACAATGTTTTGGTGTTAGGTTGACTGAGTTCCTTTTGGTAGTTTGTAGCTGAATGACAAAATTTCTCTACTGTCCTAATGATTCCAGTTATCTTTGTTATTCTTATGTGGGAACTATAGTCAAAACATTGGATTTAGTTGTTACCTTATTGTTACATTATTTTTTTAAAGTGTGGCAAGTTAGGGGCACCTGAGTGGCTCCATCATTGAGCATCTAACTCTTGAATTCAGCTCAGGTTGTGATCCCAGCATCCTAGGAACAAGCCCCACATTGAGCTCTACATTCAGCATGGAGTCTGTCCCTCTCCCTCCCTCTCTGCCCCTCTCCCCTCATGCAGGCTCTTTCTCTCTCTCTCAAATAAATAAATAAATCTTAAAAAATCTTTTTAAAAGTGTGGCAAGGTAGAGTCTTTCATTTTTCTTATGTTGGTTTTACACCAAGCATATCTACATTACTATAGAAATAGGTCTTTTGTTAAAATCATGGGAACACAAGTCTTATTATATACCAGTACATTATTAAATTTAATATAAATACCTTCAAATTTGCTACTATTCAATTTATGAATAAATTGTGAATATAAGTTGCCTGGAGTCCACCTCTTGAACTCGGCTTTCACTGTGGAAAATTATGCTTTGATCCTCAATTCAAAATACACAGGGAATGACTACGAGATGAATATTTTGTATTGCGGCTTCACCACATACATGTTAGTTCACTTTGGGTCAGTTATTTAAACCCTAAAAACCCTTCTAGGATCTGGGTTCTGCAATTTCCTATGTGTGTGTGTGATTTGAAATACTTAACCTCTCTGTACCTCAGTTTTTCATCACGAAAAGGAAAATAACAGTAGTACTTACCTCTCAGTTAAGAGGATGCCTGTGAAGTATGTAGCACGATGGATGACACGTAGGGAGAACCCCGTAAGCCTAAGCCCTTGTTAGCAGTAATAGTGTGGATAGTTGTGTGAAGCTTAGAAATGATACCTAGTGCAGTACCTGGGACCGTGAATATGCTCGGTAAATGGCAGCCACTGGTAGCACTGTGTGCCGGGTCCCCAGAACTTACTGGATATGCATTTCAGTCCCTCGGCCACCTAGAGGAACCTCGGGGGTCTCACCCAGATGGGGAGATGGAACCAGTTCTCAAAGTAATCTGTCCTGTTCTCATAACTGTGTAAGACTCTCCTTGAGGCCTCTGGGGAAGCCAGAGATTCGGGGGGACACCATGATACACAGTGTCGGGGGCACCATTCACAGCGGCTTCTCTGGAGCTCTGTGCTGGGGCGCCAGTCACGAATTCCTTGGGAACAGTAACCTCTGGAGCTCCCCACTGAAGCCCTGGGGTTTGTAACCATAGACATAATCTTGTTAGTACTGACTGCTATATGGTTGGATATATTTTAGAAAATGGTACAATTGGGATTATATTTTAGACATACTGTGAATTAGTGAAGCTTTTTTCCAACTATCCTAAAGAACTATTCTAGTTTTATAGTGTTGTTTATTGGGTCTCCCAGTCATCACTTTAAGTTCCAAATTCACAATCAACTTGAAATCCATCTCAGTTTGTCATTGGAGCGTGGCTGCCTTATAGTTTTTCCATTCTTTAAATTTTTTTTGTTGTGGTGAGAAAAGGCAAGAAGTAAACTTGTAGCTTGGTTCTGACCTTGCTCATGCCCAATGCTGATGTTCACTGAAGCGTTACTGGGAACTGCACAAGGGATGGCTGGGAACATCATTCTTAAGGACATGTGGTCCTAGCTTCAACGTCCGAGCCCATGCACCACCCTTTGCTTGAAAAGCTCACCTGTCTTTGGTTCCCCAACTGGATTCTCCTGATTCTTCTCCTATTTCTCTGAATTTTGTTTTTCTCTGACTTTGATTCATCCATCCATTCCCCAAATGTGTGTTTACCAAAGTGTGGTCTTCTGGTTGTCCTTCTTTTCTCTACTCTTCTCGCTTAGCAATTCTTCTGCTGTCATGGCCCCAACAACTAGTTCTATGTGACTGACACCCAAAGATGTACTTCTCACTCCCACCTAAGTTCACATTTTTCATTTCCATGTACCTAGATATCCTGCTGCCATATAGAACTCAACTGTATATGTGTAGTCCTAAATGTCTTTCTTTTCCTGCTGGTCCCCTTTTGGGGGTAGGAAACCATCCTCCTCCATTTATAGAAAACCTCTGACCTTCCCTTCACTCTCCATGTCTAAAGACTTGGGAGTCGATCTCTAGAATGACTTTCACAGCTCTTCTCTGCTTTCCCGTCCTCTGCTGCTATTTTGTCTCAAGCCCTTGTTCCCTCTGATTCAGAAGTTTGAAAGGTTTGGACTTTCTGGCCGTTTGAACTCTCTTCCAAGGTGCGGTGATATTATACCATCCCAGACTTAGGGAAGAGTCTCAACCCAGAAGGTATACTAATCAAAAACAGTGTTACTTTTTTCTTTCAAAATGTTGGATTCTTTTTGAAATACTAACAAGGAAAGCAAGAATCTGCATTCATCACTCCATCAAGTCACCCACCTTCATATTAAGCATTTTTATTTGTTAAAGACTGAATAGAGTGTCTTACAGAGTTATTGACGAGGCACAAATATCAAATGTTTAACCATGTTATTTGAAAACCTCTTGAAAACCTCTCTTACAGAGAAGTTTTTAACCTTAATGAAGTCCGGTGTATCACTTATGTCTTTCAGGGATCATGGTTTTGGTGTCCCATCTAAAAAGTCATCACATAGCCACCATCAGCTCGTTTCTCTCTTACGTGATCTTCTTGGAGTTTTATAATTCTGTGTTTTGCATATTTAGGTCTATGACCCATTTTGAATTAATTTTTGTGAAAGGTGTAAGGTCTTTGGATTCCTGGTTTTTTGTTTTGCTCTGTTTTTTTTTTTTTTTTTGCTTGTTTGTTTGTTTTGCTGGTAGACTCCAGTTGTCTTTGCTTCATTGTATTACCTTTGCTCCTATATCAAGAGTCGATGGACTGTATTTATTCTGGGCCCTCTCTGTGTTTCTGTGTTTCATTGATCTGTTTGTCTTTTTTGGTCAATACTACACTGTCTCGATTACTACAGCTTTCTAAGAATTCTTGAAGCCAGGCAATGTCAGTCCATGAAACTTTTTCTTCTTCAATATTGTGTTAGCTATTCTGGGTCTTTTGCTTCTCTCTATAAACTTTAGGATCTAAATGTCAATATCCACAAAATAACTTGCTCGGATTTTGAATGAGATTGACTTTTATAGGTTAACCTGTATCCTGCAGACTTGCTATGATTGCTTATTAGTTCGAGGAGGGTTTTGGTTTTTTTTTTGTTTTTTTTTTTTTTTTTTGTCAATTCTTTAGGTTTTTCTGTATGGACAGTAATGTCATCTGTAAAGAAATACAGTTTTGCTTTCCCCCTCTCAAACTGTATACACGAGTTAGGACTTCCAATGCAATGTTGAAAAGGAGTTGAAAAGGGACATCCTTGCCTTGTTCTTGATCCTAGTGTGAAAGCTTTCAGTTTCTCACTATGAAGTGTGATGTCACCTGTAGTGTTTTTTTATAGATCTTCTTTACCAAGTTGAGGATGTCTCCCTCTATTACTAGTTTACTAAGAGTTTTTGTCATGAATGGCTGTTGGGTTTTGTCAAATTATTTTTCTGCATCTACTGGTATGATCATGTGATTTTTCTTCTTTAACCTACTGAGATGATGAATTACACGGATTAATTTTTTGAATGTTCAAACAGCCACGCATACCTGGGGTATATACCATTTGGTCATGGTATGTAATTCTGTTTATTCATTGCCAGATTCAATTTGTTTAAGTTTTGTTGAGGATTTTTTCATCTAGGTTCATGGAAGCTATTGGTCTACAGTTTTCTCATGATATCTTTATTTGGTTTCGGTATTAGGATAATGCTGGCCTCATTGAACAAGTTAAGTATTCACTTTGTATCTATCTTCTCAAAGAGACTGTAGAGAATTGGCATAAATTCTACAGGAAATATTTGGTATAATTAACAGTGAATCCATGTGGCATAATTCAAATATTTGGCATAATTCAACAGCAAACCCATTCAATAGCTTTCTATTTTGGAAGATTATTAATTATTGATTCAATTTCTTTAATAGATTTTTGAGCCTCTTCAGATTGTCTATTTCCTTTTGTGTGTGTTTTGGCAAATTGGACCTTTCAAAAGAATTGGTCCATTTCATCTAGGTTTTGAAGAATGGAGTTTTTCATAGTATTCTTTTATTATCCTTTTAATTTCCATGGCCTGGTAAGTGATGTCCCTTCTTTTATTTCTGATATTAGTTATTTTGGTCTTCTTTTTTTTTTTTTTTTCTTAGTCTGCCTGCCTAGAAGCTTATTGATTTTATTGATCTTTAAAAAAAAAAAGCTTTTGGTTTTTCTCTACTGATTTCTAATTTCATTGATTTCTGCTCTACTTGTTATTTCTTGTCTTCTGCTTTGGATTTCTCTCAATTTCTACATTAGATTTAATTTGCTCATTTAACTGGCTTTCTAAAATGAAAAGTTAGATTATTGTTTTTAGATCTTTCTTCTTTTTAATAGAGTCATTGAAGACTCTAAATTGTCCTCTATACACTACTTTTACTGCATCCCATGAATTTTGGTAAGTTGTGGTTTCATTCTCACCTAGTTCAAAATGTTTTAAAATTTCTTTTAATATTTATCTTTTGAACCATGTATTATTTAGAACTGCAGTGTTTGATCACCATGTATTTTGGAATTTTCCAGTTATCTTTGTTATTGATTTCTAGTCTCATTCTATTGTGATCTAAGAGAAGAGATTATATGATGTCAATTATTTTTAATTTGTTAAGGTTTGTTTTATGGCCTAAGATGTGGTCTGTCTTGATGAATGTTCCATATGAGCTTGAGAAGAATTTGAGTTCTGCTGCTTTTGGATGATGTAGTCTGGAAGATATCAGTTATGTCCAGTTGATTGATATTATTGTTGCATTCAACTGTGCCCTTACTGCTTTTCTGCTTGCTGGATCTGTCCATTTCTGAGAGACATGTGTGTTTAAGTTCCCAGCTACAATAGTGGATTCTTCTCTTTCTCCTTGCACTTTTATCAGTTTTTGCCTCACATAGTTTTATGCTCCATTGTTATGTCTATAAACACTAAGGATTATTATGTCTCTTGGGGAATTTAACCCTTTATCATTATGTAATATATTTCTTAATCCCTGATAAATTCCTTGCTTTAAAGCCTACTCTGTATGAAATATAATAGTTGTTCCTGCTTTCTTTTGATAAGTGTTAGCATGGTATATTTTTCTTTATCCATTTATTTTTTTAAAAGATTTTATTTTACTTATTTGAGAGAGAGGGTGAGACAGAGAGCACAAGCTGGGGGAGAGGCAGAGGGAGAAAGAAACGCAGGTTCCCCACTGAGCAGGGAGCCCAGTACGGGGCTCGATCCCAGGACCCTGGGATCATGACCTAAGCCGAAGGCAGACACTTAATGACCCAGCCACCCATTTATTTAATGGATAAATAAATATCCATTTATTTTTAATCAATATGTGTCTTTATATTTAAAGTATGTTTCTTGTAGACAACATATGTATAAGTCTTGTTTTTTTGATCCCTCTCACAATTTCTGTCTTTTAATTGGTATTATTTAAACCATTGATGTTCAAAGTGATTACTGATATAATTGGATTCATAGCTATCATCTTACTGTTTTCTAATTGTTGCCCTTGTTCTTTGTTCCTATTTTTGTCTCCCACTCTTTTTCTGCCTTCTGTGGTTTTTAACTGAGCATTCTCTATGATTCTATTTTCTCACCTTTCTTAGCATATTTTGATGATACTTCTTTTTTCACTTTTTTAGTGGTTACCTTAGAGTTTTCAATATATACTTATCACTAATCCAAGTCTTCCTTCAAATAACACGATAGTCAGTACCTTATAATAACATCTTATAATAACAAAATAATTCTAGTTTTACTCTCCAGTCTCTCATTTCATTGCTATGATTGATTTCATCATATATAAGCATACATAATATATACACATGTATATTTATTATATGTACACATAAGCATACATAATTGAATATATTATTGCTATTACTCCTTTATTTGTATTATTCCAGAAGCTGGGGAATGCTGTTTATACATAGACCACAGAGATTTGTCGTGCAAGTGAGAAAACTAAACCCCAGAAAGGCTGTTAACAAGGTGGTTAAAGATAAGGCTTTGGCCTTAAACAGCCCTGGTTAGACAGCATGGTACTGCTGCAAAAACAGACATATAGACCAGTGGTACAGAGTAGAGAGCCCAAATATGGACCCTCAACTCTATGGCCAAATAATCTTTGACAAAGCAGAAAAAAATATACAGTGGAAAAAAGAGAGTCTCTTCAATAAATGGTGCTGGGAAAATTGGACAGCTATGTGTAGAAGAATGAAACTTGACAGTTCTCATATAACATACACAAAAATAAACTCTAAATGGATGAAAGAGCTCAATGTGAGACAGGAATCCCTAAAAATCCTAGAGGAGAACATAGGCAATAACCTCTTCGACACGGGCCACAGCAACTTCTTTCAAGACAGGCCTCCAAAAGCAAGGGAAACAAAATCGAAAATCAACTTTTGGGACTTCATCAAGATAAAAAGCTTCTGCACAGCAAAGGAAACAGTCAACAAAACAAACAGACAACCCACAGAATGGGAGAAGATATTCACAAATGACACTACAGACAAAGCACTAATATCCAAGATCTATAAAGAACTTCTGAAACTCAACGCCCAAAAAACAGATAAGTCAAAAAATGGGCAGAAAACATGAACAGACACTCCTCCAATGAAGACATGCAAGTGGCTAGCAGACACATCAAAAAATGTTCATCATTAGCCATCAGGGAAATTCAAATCAAACCCACATTGAGATACCCCCTTAACACCAGTTAGAATGGCAAAGATTAAGAAGGCAGGAAACAACAAATGTTGGAGAGGATGTGGAGAAAGGGGAACCGTCTTACACTGTTGGTGAGAATGCAAGTGGTGCAGCCACTTTGGAAAACAGTGTGGAAAGTCCTCAAAAAATTAAAAATAGAGCTACCCTGCGACCCAGCAATTGCCCTATTGGGTATTTATCCCAAAGATACAGATGTAGTGAAAAGAAGGGCTATATGTACCCCAGTGTTCATAGCAGAAATGTCTACAATTAGCCAGTCTGTGGAAAGAGCTGAGATGCCCTTCAACAGATGAATGGATAAAGATGTGGTCCATATATACACTGGAATATTACTCAGCCATCAGAAAGGATGAATACCCAACTTTTGCATCAACATGTGTGAGACTGGAGGAGATTACGCTGAGTGAAATAAGCAGAGAAAGTCAGTTATCATATGGTTTCACTTACTTGTGGAACATAAAGAATAACATGGAGGACATTAGGAGAAGGAAAGGAAAAGTTAACTGGGGGAAATCAGAGGGGGAGATGAACCTTGGAAGACTGTGGACTCTGAGAAACAAACTGAGGGTTTTAGAGGGAAGAGCGGGGGGGGGGATGGGTGAGCCTGGTGGTGGGTATTAAAGAGGGTATGTATTGCAAGGAACAGTGGGTGTTATATGTAAAAATGACTCTTGGAACACTATATCAAAAACTAATGATGTGCTCATAAACAATGAATTTTGGAACACTAAAAAAAATAAAAATTTTAAAAACCTAATGATGTATTGTATGGTGACTAACATAACACAATAAAATTTTTAAAAAAATAAGGAAAGAAAATAAAACTAACCAAAAAAAATTTTTTAAAGTTAACAGACCTGGTTTGAATCCAATTTAGTCATCAACTGTGTGACCTGAAGGGAGAATGGTACCCCCTCTAAGCCTTAGTATCCATGTATATAAAATGAGGGACTCCTCTGAGTAACTAGGGTGTTACAGCAGGTAAATGGGATAATGTAGCCCTTCTGACCATTTGATATATCATCATAAAATTGTTTCTATTACTCTCTGCTCCCACTGGCATATAAAATCCAAGAGTTTAGTAATTGTTGACTATTTCACTCCTGCCACATTTCCAGTGTCTAGAACAATGCCTGGTAATCACTCACACATGTGCACTGAATGATTCCTATGAAGTACTTAGCAGTGTCTGGAATTTAATGACAGTGGTTGTTGAAAATAGTGATGATGACAGTAACAAGCCAAAATTCAGTACTCCGGGAAGCCCATGGTGGTGCTCATAGTTGTTCTGATAATTATATTTTCAAGTAATTTTAACAATTAGCAAATATTCTTACTAATCGCCTTACTGAAAATGTCTTATTTTTTCAGTGGAGAAAAAAATTTTCATATCTTTTACTACATCTATGCTGGATTAGCCGAAAAGAAGAAACTAGCCCATTACAAATTGCCTGAAAATAAGCCTCCCAGGTAACGCAGCAGGTGGCACTTTTCTAAGTAATGCTTTCACTTTCCATTGAACTTTAGATTTTGACTCATCCTTTCATATTTTTTCAGATACCTACAAAATGACCACCTCAGAACAGTACAGGACATGATGAATAATAGTTTCTATAAATCCCAACATGAATTAATTGAGCAATGTTTCAAAGTCATAGGTTTTACGATGGAGGTAAGTTTGAAAGACATCGAACCTCTTTAGGAAGTACCTTTTTGTCATCGCTCATGGTAAGAATGACCATTTATTGAGTGACTAATATATGCCAGACATTGTATCAAGTGTTTTATGTGAATCATTCTTTTAGTTACTGAAACAACCTCATGAAATAACTAGAATACTTACTAGAATGTTACAATATTTACTTTATACATAAAGAAACAGTGGTATTGACATATAATTGAATTTGGTTTTGTTCTTAATCTTTTGCTTACATTTGCCTCTCCCCATATAATTAACATTTTATACAAACGAATAAACAGGAGCAAATGGCATGTTATTTTTTTAGTGCAGTCTTGTTTTCAATGCAACTTTTTAAATACAACTTTATTAAGATGTAGTTCACATACATATAAGTCAGCCCTTGAAAGGGTACATTTTAGTGACTTTTAGTATAGTCACAGTTGCACCTCTATCACTATAATCATTTTTAGGATATTTTCATGCTCTAAATTTTTCACTCCTAAAAGAAACATGTTAGCATTTAGGAGTTCCTCCCCATTCCTGCCTCATCTCTGCTTCCTATCACCGGAGTTTTTTCTTCTGGAAAGTTCCCAAAAACAGAGTGATACGATATATCATCCTTTGTGACTGGCTTCTCTCATTCAACTCTCGAAAGTTTTCAAGTTATAACATGTGACAGCACTTTATTGCTTTTCATTGTTGAATAATATTTCTCCTTATAGATTTACCTCATGTTATGTATCCATTCATCTGTTGATAGATATTTACGTTGGTGCATTCTGGGGCTGTTAGGCATAATGTTGCTACGGACATTCATGTACAACTTTTTTGTATGGACATAAGTTTTCATTTCTCCTGGTATAAATCTAGGAGTAGAACTACTGAGTCATAGGGTAACAGTGTTTAACCTTTTGAGGAACTTCTAGGCTGTTTTCCAAAGCAGCTGCACTGTTTTATACCCTAACCAGGAGTGTATGACATTTCAAATTTCTCCATATCCTCCCTAATACTTACTATCATCTGTCCTTTATTTTATTTTTTATTTTTTTAATTAACATAGTATATTATTTGTTCCAGGGGTACAGGTCTGTGGATCATCAGGCCTACATATTTCACAGCACTCATCATAGCACATACCCTCCCCAATGTCCATAACCCAACCACCTTATCCCTGACTCCCAACCCCCAGCAACCCTCAGTTTGTTTTGTGAGATTAAGAGTCTCTTATGGTGGGTGAAGGACCTCAATGTGAGAAAGGAATCCATCAAAATCCTTGAGGAGAACACAGGCAGCAACCTCTTCGACCTCAGCCGCAGCAACATCTTCCTAGGAACATCACCAAAGGCAAGGGAAGCAAGGGCAAAAATGAACTATTGGGATTTTATCAAGATCAAAAGCTTTTGCACAGCAAAGGAAACAGTGAACAAAACCAAAAGACAACTGACAGAATGGGAGAAGATATTTGCAAACGACATATCAGATAAAAGGCTAGTGTCCAGAATCTATAAAGAACTTAGCAAACTCAACACCCAAAGAACAAATAATCCAATCAAGAAATGGGCAGAAGACATGAACAGACATTTCTGCAAAGAAGACATCCAGATGGCCAACAGACACATGAAAAAGTGTTCCATATCACTCGGCATCAGGGAAATACAAATCAAAACCACAATGAGATATCACCTCACACCAGTCAGAATGGCTAAAATTAACAAGTCCGGAAATGACAGATGCTGGCGAGGATGCGGAGAAAGGGGAACCCTCCTACACTGTTGGTGGGAATGCAAGCTGGTGCAACCACTCTGGAAAACAGCATGGAGGTTCCTCAAAATGTTGAAAATAGAACTACCCTATGACCCAGCAATTGCACTGCTGGGTATTTACCCTAAAGATACAAACGTAGTGATCCGAAGGGGCACGTGCACCCGAATGTTTATAGCAGCAATGTCTACAATAGCCAAACTATGGAAAGAACCTAGATGTCCATCAACAGACGAATGGATAAAGAAGATGTGGTATATATACACAATGGAATACTATGCAGCCATCAAAAGAAATGAAATCTTGCCATTTGCGACGACGTGGATGGAACTAGAGGGTATCATGCTTAGCGAAATAAGTCAATCGGAGAAAGACAACTATCATATGATCTCCCTGATATGAGGGAGAGGAGATGCAACATGGGGGTTATGGGGATAGGAGAAGAGTAAATGAAGCAAGATGGGATTGGGAGGGAGATAAACCATAAGTGACTCTTAATCTCACAAAACAAACTGAGGGTTGCTGGGGGGAGGGGGGTTGGGAGAGGAGGGATGGGGTTATTATGGACATTGGGTTGGATATGTGCTATGGTGAGTGCTGTGAAGTGTGTAAACCTGGCGATTCACAGGCCTGTACCCCTGGGGAAAAAATATATGTTTATAAAAAATAAAATTAAAAAAAAAAAGATGGTGATAATATTCCTCGGCCAATATTTTGCATATCCCTTCCCTGCTTAATTTTCTTATTGTAACATGTAAATATATAATATACTATGAAAAAAAAAAGAGTCTCTTATGGTTTGTCTCCCTCCTAACCCCATCTTGTTTCATTTTTTCCCTCCCTATCCCCCCACTACCCACTGCCCTTCTCTCAGATCCCTCATATCAGAGAGATCATATGATAATTGTCTTTCTCTGATTGATTTATTTTGCTCAATATAATACCCTCTAGTTCCATCCTTGTTGTTGCAAATGGCAAGATTTCATTTCTTTTGATGGCTGCATAGTATTCCATTGTATGTATGTATATGTGTGTGTGTGTGTGTGTGTGTGTGTGTGTATATATATAAATATACATACCACATCTTCTTTATCCATTCATCTGTTGATGAAGATCTAGGTTCTTTTGGGACATTGTGGACATTGCTGCTATAAACATTAGGGTGCACGTGCCCCTTTGGATCACCACATTTGTATCTTTAGGGTAAATACACAGTAGTGTGATTGTAGGGTAGCTATATTTTCAACTTTTTGAGGAACCTCCATGCTGTTCTCCAGAAGGGCTGCACCAGCTTGCATTCCCACCCACAGTGTAGGAGGGTTCCCCTTTCTCCACATCCCATCTATCTTTTATATTTTAGCCATCCTAGTGGGTATGAAGTATATCTCACTGTGGTTTTGATATGCATGTCCCTAATGGCTTGTGAACCTGAACTTCTTTACGTGTACTTACTGGTCATTTATATCTCTTCTTTGAAGAAATATCTATTCACATACTTTACCTTTTAAAAAAAATGGGTTGTGTATTATTATCGAGTTGTAAGAATTATTTATATTGTAAATACAAGTCTCTTATCAGAAAAAGGATTTGCAGAAATTTTCTCCCATTAGTTGCTTTTTTACTTTCTTGATGGTGTCCTTTGAAGTATACACGTTTTTAATTTTTATGGGGTCTAGTTTACCTGTTTTTTCCTTCTATTGTTTTGATTTTGGTATCATAGATTAGAAACTATTGTCTAATCTAAAGTCACAGAGATTTATGCCTTAGTTTTCTTCTAAGAGTTGCATAGTTTTTGCTCTTACATACAGGTCGCTGTTCCTCTTTGAGTTAATTTTTGTTTCTGGTGCAAAGTAACTTCTTTTGCACGTGGACACGCAGTCATACCACAGCCATTTGTTGCAGACTCTTCTGTCCCCATTGACTGGTTTTGGCATCCTTGTTGGAAATCAGTTGGACATAAATGTATAAATGTAGAGCTTTACTTCTGAATTCTCAATTCTAAGATAGTGACCTCTCTGTCTGTGTTATGTTAGTAGCATGTTGTCTTGATTATTGTGTCTTTATAATAAGTTTTGAAATTGGAGCGTGTGGGTTCTTTTGCAAGATTGTTTTGGGTCCCTCAAATTTCTGTGTGAAATTTGGGGATCAGCTCATCACTTTCTAGTGCGGGCTTGTAAAACTTTGCTTTTGTTCAGCTCTCTCTTCCCCATCTCACCCCTCCCATCCATGTCTGCTCTCTTTCCCTTTCCCCAGCCAATGGAGGGTAACAACTCAGCATACGTAATCCAAAATTTCATTTTTGTCTCCCTGTTCATAAAACATTGTACATACCACATACATACATGTACACATACATAACATACACATGCCTCTGGAGGGATGGTCATTGTTTATTAATACGGCATTATATCACACAACTTTTCTATAGCTGGTTTCTCTCACTCCACAATAGCTTCCAGAAATCCCTTCAACTCATCTAGTATAGCCCTAAATCAGTACTCTTAAAGGCAACATAGTGTCCCATGGTGTGTACTACCATAATTTATTCTGCCATTCACATATGACTGGGCATACACGTCTCTTAATGTTTCCAGATCTTTGTCACTCTGAGCAAAACCAAAATAATGCCTTTATTTCCTGGTGCTATTTATTTCTATAGGATAGGTCCCTAGCAGCGGGATTGCTGGGTCAAAGGGTATGTATACTTTAAATTTGAATATGAATTACAACATTGCCTTCCAACAACTATGAAATACTTCATATTTCCACCAGCATTGTATGTGACTATCTTTCCCATCACCATCTCTGCCTTGTGTTGTAGCTTTTTAAATATTTGTTAATCTGATGATGGGTGTGAGTACCAACTCGTTTCAAGTTTGCATATCCTTGACTAATTGTGAATTTGAGTTAATTCCATTTGTTTGCTGGCTACTTGGGTTTCCTTCTGTATGAACTGTGTATTTATGTTGTCCTTTTTATTGAGCCATTTCTGAGTCAGTTTGTAAGTTCTCATTGAACATTATAGACTTCTTTTTATCACTTGTGTTATAAATATGTTTTGGCTTACTTTTTTAAAGCTCTTATGTATTTCTTTATTTGAGAGAGAGGGTGTGTGTGCACGAGCTGGGGAGGGGCAGAGAGAGAGAGAGAGAGAGAGAATCTCAAGCAAACTCCACGCTGAGCAGAGCCCAGTACGGGGCTCGATCTCACAACGTTGAGATCATGACCTG